ACTACAATCAATGAGCTATCCCTGATCAAATCCCAGCATAGAGAGTGCTAAGAAAAACACAGTTTCTTCAGCTAGCATCTGTGCCATGCCAATGTAGCATTAATCTTGCCTTTGCCACCTTCAGATACATGCAAGCAGGTTTGAACCAAGGGGACTGAAGTATATCACAATACAGGTAACAGAATGTAGACATGTTCATGAAACTCAAGGCAACATTTTCTGGATTAAAATATAGCACCCTGCTGTCCAAAGCAGACAGAAGCACTATCACTAGCTGGAGGCAACTGCAAAGCAAAACTCCCACTGCCTCTCCAGCCTCTGGGCACCCCCCTGTCAGGTTCCCAAGGGGGGCTCCTAAAGATGAATGGGAAAATTCCCCCCTGCTTCTGAGGGCACATTTCCACCTTTCTCACAGGAAAAGCAATGCACACACTCCTTGGGAGTTACTGTCAAACCCTTCCTCCACAGTCTGTCCATGCTGCTTACTTCGTACTTTCTCAACTGAAGCACTGAAATACAAGTTTCTTTTTTCAATGTAGCACCGTATTTCCTCCTGTATGGAGCACAGTTGTCATGTCTAGCATAAATTCTCCAAGTAGAAACCACAATGAGTACTCGGACAGCTAGCAAAGATCATTTTCATCTAAAGGTTTTGAAAAGCAATTCCAAATATCTCAGATAGTTGGGAGGGAGTAAGACTAGTCTAGAATTACTTGCTCATTGCCAAAGACCAAAATTTAATGGATTTACTGCTTCGAAGTCGGTGTTTCATTGTATGGAGTCAGGCTCTATGTAGTACTTCAGAAAGCATTTGAGCTCTCAAGTCCAAACCAGGATCATGAGCTGGCTAGACACATTTATAAACCCTAAATAAACAGCAGTAGATGTAAATGTCCAGATAAGAAGTAACTGTGATAAACTAGCCCAAAGATGCTATTTTACATAAATCAGCACATAGGTCACCACATGGAAATAAAAATTACACAAGTCTTCCAAAACGGAGGAGTTACCTGAAGTCAACTTCTAACCCTGTATATAATTGATCAGCTGGATAGGAGTCTGAAAACCCCCAGCTAGCACTCTGCTAAAAGTATTTCCATGGAATGTTGCAGGGGGATGTGACCAAGGCAGTCAACACAGCCAAACTCAAATCAATGGATTTCTATGTCTAGTATTTCTTAATTAGACCAGGGCTCTAGCTAGAAGAGACATGTGAATTTCACATCTCCTTATGCCTGGATTTCACAGGAAGACAGCAATAGCAGAAGCTACAGTAGGGACATAAGAATTATCAGGATGAAAAATTATGAGAGTGGTGAGGGGTTTTTTGTCTTTTTCTCTTCAAATGGTGAACTTTTTAACAGCAGATGAAAAAAACCAAAAAGCTCTGCTCCCATGGCAACATTATTAATCTCTATATTACTTGCCTAATTTGAAGCATAACACCATACCTTGACTATAGTGACTCACAAACTGTGTAATTTTTTGCATTAATTATACCAATCAAAAACCTTATTCAAACCCATAGAGTTGAACTGCTATCATGAAAAGAAAATTGTGGCAAAACCAGGTATGACATCCTTCACATAAAGTCAGAAATGCAACAACAGTATTTCCAGTATTAATTTGGGGAGTGGTGTGATTGCTTTGGCTTTGGTTTTTTTTCTTCCTTTAAAGAGGCACCATCATGTTACTGCTTCTCTTCTTCCACTTCAAGTAAGATAGGCACCTTTCTGTAAAAACTGCACACTTAAAAAAAGAGTCAGAGGCCACAATAAGGTCTCCCCAGAGCCTTCTCTTCTCCAAGCTGAACAACCCCAGCTCTCAGCCTCTTTTCATAGGAGAGGTGCTCCAGCCCTCAGATCTTTTTTTGTGGTCCTCCTCTGGACCTGCTCCAACAGGTCCATGTCTTTCCTGTATGGAGGACTCCAGAGCTGGATGCAGTACTCCAGGTGGGGTCTCACCAGAGCAGCGGGGCAGAACAACCTCCCTTGACCTGATGGCCCCACTTTCTTTGAGGCAGCTGAGGATATGGTTGGCCTTCTGGGCTGCAAGTGCACATTGCCAGCTCACATCCAGTTTCTCATCCACCAGTACCCCCGAAGTCCTTCTCCACAGCGCTGCTCACAATCCTTCATCCTCCAGCTTGTAGTGATAGTGGGAGTTGCCCCAGCTCAGGTGTAGGACCTTTGCACTTGGCCTCATTGAACCTCATGAGGTTCAAAATAACAGGCTAGTAAATTGCGCCTGATTAAATGTGCATTTCAAGCATCCTTATACCATTCTTCTGGTCAACCAGTTGCCCTTTATATGCCACAGATCACTTCCAAAGAACTACATGACTCTGGCATTCTGTGATCATCCATCCCTCATCGACAGGCCTTCATTATCCTATGGCCAAACAGCAGGTCAACTGTTGTACTGCCCCACTCAGACTAGCATGCAGACATGTTTTGTCATAACATCAAGATTAATTTTCCAACTACAGCAAAGTTGCTCAGCTCCAGCTGTAAGATCAGTTTGCTGCACTAGGGTTCTAACTGGGGGTGGGATGGAAATGGGGAAATAATAAACCCTAAATAAACAGCAGTAGATGTAAATGTCCAGATAAGAAGTAACTGTGATAAACTAGCCCAAAGATGCTATTTTACATAAATCAGCACATAGGTCACCACATGGAAATAAAAATTACACAAGTCTTCCAAAACGGAGGAGTTACCTGAAGTCAACTTCTAACCCTGTATATAATTGATCAGCTGGATAGGAGTCTGAAAACCCCCAGCTAGCACTCTGCTAAAAGTATTTCCATGGAATGTTGCAGGGGGATGTGACCAAGGCAGTCAACACAGCCAAACTCAAATCAATGGATTTCTATGTCTAGTATTTCTTAATTAGACCAGGGCTCTAGCTAGAAGAGACATGTGAATTTCACATCTCCTTATGCCTGGATTTCACAGGAAGACAGCAATAGCAGAAGCTACAGTAGGGACATAAGAATTATCAGGATGAAAAATTATGAGAGTGGTGAGGGGTTTTTTGTCTTTTTCTCTTCAAATGGTGAACTTTTTAACAGCAGATGAAAAAAACCAAAAAGCTCTGCTCCCATGGCAACATTATTAATCTCTATATTACTTGCCTAATTTGAAGCATAACACCATACCTTGACTATAGTGACTCACAAACTGTGTAATTTTTTGCATTAATTATACCAATCAAAAACCTTATTCAAACCCATAGAGTTGAACTGCTATCATGAAAAGAAAATTGTGGCAAAACCAGGTATGACATCCTTCACATAAAGTCAGAAATGCAACAACAGTATTTCCAGTATTAATTTGGGGAGTGGTGTGATTGCTTTGGCTTTGGTTTTTTTTCTTCCTTTAAAGAGGCACCATCATGTTACTGCTTCTCTTCTTCCACTTCAAGTAAGATAGGCACCTTTCTGTAAAAACTGCACACTTAAAAAAAGAGTCAGAGGCCACAATAAGGTCTCCCCAGAGCCTTCTCTTCTCCAAGCTGAACAACCCCAGCTCTCAGCCTCTTTTCATAGGAGAGGTGCTCCAGCCCTCAGATCTTTTTTTGTGGTCCTCCTCTGGACCTGCTCCAACAGGTCCATGTCTTTCCTGTATGGAGGACTCCAGAGCTGGATGCAGTACTCCAGGTGGGGTCTCACCAGAGCAGCGGGGCAGAACAACCTCCCTTGACCTGATGGCCCCACTTTCTTTGAGGCAGCTGAGGATATGGTTGGCCTTCTGGGCTGCAAGTGCACATTGCCAGCTCACATCCAGTTTCTCATCCACCAGTACCCCCGAAGTCCTTCTCCACAGCGCTGCTCACAATCCTTCATCCTCCAGCTTGTAGTGATAGTGGGAGTTGCCCCAGCTCAGGTGTAGGACCTTTGCACTTGGCCTCATTGAACCTCATGAGGTTCAAAATAACAGGCTAGTAAATTGCGCCTGATTAAATGTGCATTTCAAGCATCCTTATACCATTCTTCTGGTCAACCAGTTGCCCTTTATATGCCACAGATCACTTCCAAAGAACTACATGACTCTGGCATTCTGTGATCATCCATCCCTCATCGACAGGCCTTCATTATCCTATGGCCAAACAGCAGGTCAACTGTTGTACTGCCCCACTCAGACTAGCATGCAGACATGTTTTGTCATTAAGTAAAACATCAAGATTCATTTTCCAACTACAACAAAGTTGCTCAGCTCCAGCTGTAAGATCAGTTTGCTGCACTAGGGTTCTAACTGGGGGTGGGATGGAAATGGGGAAATAGGGACTGGGCCATTGCATGCCAGTTAGCCCCACAAGAATGCATGCTGCCCCTTCTTTTTGCACTGCTAGAACTAATCTTGCATTATCCTTGGATTTGTTTGTTTTGGTAGTGCTTTGGACAACATACACTGAAAGCAATTATTTGCATACAGAAAGGTGGCACAACTTACGATAAGCTTTAAAAGCAAGCAGAAAATCAGCACCTGAGCTCACTCAAACTTAAGGTGAAAATTCTGAAGACTGCCAGCCAAGCTGATTCTATAATGTATAATTTTGCTTTTTAGTAGTTTATTTATACTTGAAGTTCTTTAAACATTACATCAATTTGTATAACTACTTTTATGTAACACTGATGTTATGATAAATTTCTTCATTTACATGCTCAAAAAATTAAGGAAAACATATCCCATCCTACATTTAAAACATACTCTGCCCGTGTCCATGTCATCTTAAAAGTCCCACTTTCTCAACTTTGTTTCAAAATTTAATTTTCAAAATTTGTTTGCTGTTCAGCGTTTCCAATTGAGTTTAATTAATGACCATTTTTGCAAAGAGGTATTGGCTTCCTAAGACACCAGAGAAAAACCTCAAGAGTGCTGAGAGCCAATACATTACAACTTTTCTCAGTTATCCTGAAAGAGCAGAACATTAAAACTGTGTGTATTCTGGAATTAAATTTGTTAACCTAGTTTCTGAGGAAATTAAGTTTGTCAGCACGTTGTTGCCTGTCAGTATCTCTCCCCAGTAACTTTTGGGCTTACTAAACAGAAACCAAGTTCGACAAACCAGCACAGGCCAGAGCTCCTACACATTTTGTGAAAACTGGTAGCCAAGTAGGAGATAAGGACTAAAATAAGCATGCCTTGCATGAAAGAAATACACAAGCAGAATTCAAATCTTTTCAGTTTTGGCTGCTGATTAGTGCATGCATACTCATTTGCCAGCACGTCTGGCTCTGAACCAGCCACAGAAACCAGTCACATCTCCTGACTGGCCAAACAGGTGGGAAAGACAGGTAGTAACAAGAGTTACTGATTAGCACTCAAAGAGAGTGTCCTGGTTTTGGCAACTCCAACACTAAAAAACTGTAGAGACAGAGTAGAACTGAGAATACCGGTATAAAGTTTTAGGGAATACTGGACTCAAAGCTGTACGACACCAGGCATCATGGGCTCTGCAACCTGAACATACAATAAGTTTTATACTTACCACATTCTTTGGACTGATTATTTTAATCTGATTATTGAAGCTTCAAGGGAAATTAGAACACTTACAGCTTGCTGAACTCTAGAAGAAGGAGAGGTTCTTCTGTGCAAGATACTTCATGTAAAAAGAGACATTTTCATAGTTACTTCAATTGCCTTCAGCTCACGCTAGTATCACATGCTAAGAAGCCAGGGAAAGAATAGGAACCTGTGCAACATTATAGCAGCACAATATTTGCAAATATCCGTATCTTAATATTACCAGAAAAATGCATTATTTTTGTGAATCTGTCCTTCAATACAAGCACTCACTATGTACTAAGACTCATCCACTTCAAAATTTCTATTTCAATGTCACTATATAGTTGTTATTGTGCAGGCATAAAGGAATCAAAGGAAAAATGGCTTCAAGTTCATTAAACAAATAAAACAAAACTCAGCATCAGCTGAGGAATGATCAAGTTGGAGAAATACCTATTCAATAATTTCTCCATTTCTCCATAAACCTGGAGGATAAAAAATGAACTAAATACATACTTTATAGACAATCTAAAAAATGTAGCATAATCTGTTTTTGTGAAAACTGAAAATAAAAGTAACTGATCTATGATAAGAAAAATGAACTTTTTGTTCTAAAATCTAAATTACTTTTCTTCAAACTTCTCCTTAGTAAAGTTTGTCCCTGTCTACACATGTAAGAAGAGGAATAAGTACTAGGAAACCAAGAGGCAGGAAGGTTCTTTAGGTATGTGAAAACTCCCATCAGAAAAGGGGAAGGTCTTGACTATCAAATACTGCTGCTAAAGTGAAACTCAGTACTAAGTTTAATCAATTTTTGGATAGAAGCAAACCACACCTCAAGTTAAATCTTGCAACAGTTAAAGCTAATTTTCATCATATGGGTAAGTATCACCAGTACTGATGCATTTAGAGGAATAAGCAGCTCTCCCTGTGCTAACTCTCCTCACAACCTGAACGGATTTCCATCATGCAAGTATACTTCTAACTAATGACAAAACTTTCTCCTATCTCTAACCTGTAATTCCTAAGAGTGTCTACTTTGTCTGATGCTCAGATATGACAATTCTAAAGTTTAGACAGAAAAAAAAAAATCTGCATCACTAACGTCACAATATCGTACCAGAAACTATTGCACAGGAGATAAGTAGAGAGGAACGAGGGAGTATAAGGAAAACAATGAATGATGTCTAGTCCAATAAAATAAAACATTGCAGTGAGTGAAGTTCTAGGGAGAAAAAAAAAGAAAAAACCATAAGAACTTTTTCCTACACCTGGAAAAAAAAAAGCTGCAGCAATGAACATGTAATAAGGATTTAACATTCATGTTTTCAAAGGAAGAAATCTTCTATTAAAAAAAGAAAAGAGAATAAGAGAACAGGGAAAAAACAGAAAGGATGCGTATGTAGTTTTAGTCTTTCAAAAGATTTGGTGCTTTGCATACCTGCTTACAAAAACTCTATCTTCTCCTTATTTTAAAAAAATGCTAAGAAAAGCATATTTCAGACTTCTAACAACAGACTATAAAGTCTAGCATAAGGCTTTTCATGTGCCCCAGCACAAAGCCACCTAGCACGCATATAAAATATACATATCACAACAGATCCAATGAGTACAACCCTGTTCAGAGCTAGGGTACTCCAGTGACTGGCAAAAGCCACAGCCTCAGGGACCACCTGATAACCATTGGTATAAGGGAAATCCAGATATACATCACAGATTTTTCTTACTCACTCAAACAGGATAAATATTCAGTCTGTATCAAAGACTACTAAAATCACCAGAATGAGGTGAGCTTCTTGGCTTCAAACATGCTTCAATATTATTGGCCTGACAGACTCTGAAACAGTATACTGCTTCCCACAAAACCCCTGTTCTTCCATTAAGGTGATTTCTGCTATCACATCTCTATGACTTATCTTTTTTGTGGAAACTTTCTCTTACATAGCAGTTACAGATTAGACCAAAAAAATCTTAAGAAGTGAGGTACTTCTCAGTCTTTTTGGAAGGACAGGAAGGACTCTTTCTAGTGGGAATGGAGAATTACCTTGCTACACTAGTCACTGTTCTTTATTACCTGAGAACGTGTCCAACACACCTCATTATCCACCTATCATTTTTGACTGTTGCAATATTTAATGAATTACCAACTATCTCTCTCTTCCTTTCCTTCCATCATTCTCGTTATTTCTGAACTGCTCCACAAGCAAGCAAACACCCAAAGTGCCTTTTTGATTTGTATCATCTGGAATTTCTATTTTACCATGCAACTAAGTTTAAGTTACGCTCTCCTGCTCCGATGCTACTCATTTCATTTGCAGCAGTCCACCAGTTATTTTTGCCACTGGATGAAATCCCTTATTCATTCCTTTGAACCACTTGCTATTCAAAACAGTTCTTACCACTTGTCTCATGACACAAGTCTCTATTCACTCATCCCTTCCTACATTAGCGTATCTGTATACGACCTCAGACTTCTTCTAATGTGCTCTCACAAAACAGCAAAGAGGAATCATAGAATCATTTAGGTTAGAAAAGACCCTTAAAATCATCAAGCCCAACTGTTAATCCAACACTACAAAATCCACTGCTAAACCATGTCCCTAAGTGCCACATCCATCCATCCCTTAAAAACCTTCAGGAATGAGGACTCAAACCACTTCCTGGGCAGCCCATTCCAGTGCCTGATAATCCTTTTGAGAAGAAATTTTTCCTAATACCCAATCTAAACCTCCCCCAGCGCAACTTGAGGATGTTTCCTCTTGACCTATCACTTGTTACTTGGGAGAAGAGACCAACACACACCTCGCTACAGCCTCCTTTCAGGCAGTTGTAGAGGGCAATAAGGTCTCCCCTCAGCCTCCTTTTCTCCACACTAGACAACCCCAGGTCCCTCAGCCGCTTCTCATCAGACTTGTGCTCCAGACCTTTCAACCAGCTTCCCTGCTCTTCCCTGGACACACTCCAGCAACTCAAGGTCCTTTTTGGAGTGAGGGGCCCAAAACTGAACACAGGATTTGAGGTGGGGCCTCACCAGTGCCGAGTACAGGGGCATGATCACTTACTTCCCTGCTCCTGCTGGCCACCTTAACACAGAGTATCTTTTAGGAAGTCAAGCCCTAATTCCAACTCATTAAAAATGGGAAACAAGAAGTCCCTCACATTCTACTCCTCACTCTGAGCTCCTGCTCCTACAGGACTATTACTCATTTCTGTTCCTAGTCAGGGTAATGAATTTTTGAGACTGAACTCTTTCACAATATATCAATTTTAAAGACCTTGCAATTTAACTTCACACCCTACCATGCTATGATACAATAATATCTTAAATTGATAGTTGTCCAATTCAACTACTGAGAGCCACTTTATATCCAGTGTTTGCTTGACCACAGGCAAAAAGAATTTAAACAAGTCTACAGACATATGACAACTAGATTCCAACAGAACTGAATGAATCCAAACAGATCTCTCCCTATAATACTCAAACATAAATTTGTGAATTATTGCCCCTTGCTTATTTTTGGTGCCACGGAGATCTCACTATCAAGCTTACTGGTGATTTAAATGCAAGTTCTCTATTTACTAGTTTGTTTATTTCTCTCTCTCACTACATACTCTGCTGGACCTAATTTTGACTTGTTTACTCAACACAAAAATGACAGAACAGAAAAGCATGACTAGAGTCAGGTGACTAAAGAACAGAAAATATACCAGAATAAAAGTTATCAGAATATTTACATCCTAAATAAAATTATAATTGACTTACATTTTAAGGAGTTAGTTTTGAATACACACACACACACACACACTCCATTTGGTATTAAATGCCATATGAATAAATATGCATCATTGTGACCCATCTTTGCAACAGAAGCAATGTAATGGTCATTTTTTTAATAAAACATCAGTACAAGAATTTTAAAACCCTTTCTCTTACATGATTTAAAGGACAAGCAAAAAAGTCACTGAATTCAGTAGCTTGTTACTTTTGTGCTGAAAACCCTAACTAAAACCACTTTTGCCTTAATTGCTCTTCACTACTGACCTCCACAGCATAAGACAAAATGGAAGGAATTTTATCATTGCCATACCAATTGGCAATTTGCAATGAATTCACAATTGATTATTGTTCTCCTTCTAGGACCCTCCTCCCCTTCCCCAAGCCTCCAAATTCTGTTAGGAAAAAATCCAGCACCACCCCTTCCCTTCTACACCGGTTTAAGCCTTGCTTCTTCTTCATTAGGCAGCAAGCTTAAGGCCTTGCTTGCAGAAAGATGTCTGCAATGACAGCAGTAAGCAATTAAGCACATTTACTGTAAAAGAACCATTTTTAGAAATTGAATTTTTTTGCATGCATATATACCCATAAATTAAATCTGCTAAAAGACTATACTGTGTACTGCAAGTATCTCACGGTTCCTTTAAAATAAAAGTTACGAAGTTTCCCATGACCGTGTTTGCATGTTTTATTCATTATTGTACACTACCACACCAAGGAACC